AGTGGATGCTTCTCATCCATAGGATGAGAAACAAAAAGGAGAGAGGAGTGGAGACAAGAGAGAGAAGTCGAGGTAGAAGTCAAGAAGCAAAATCAAAAGGAAGAGAATGGAAAGACAGTGGGGGGAGAGCGAGGAAGATGAGAAAGAGCACATCCCAGAGATGGCCTGGTATAAGCTTGATTTACCTATTGTTACACTGCAAATGAAAGAAATGAAAGTGGGAATACAGAATGCTTAGCGCAAAGACGGCAGCTTATGCTCTGATATATTGATTTCCAGGTTCTTGTTGCGTGGTATGTGCTGGGAGGGCCGACAAGGGGGAGGGAGGGGCAGAGACAGACTGAAACCACCTACAGAGAAAATGTGTCTCCCTTTCTCCCCTCAGTTCCTGCTGTACTCCCCCCAGCCCTCTACACAGCTGCTTGTGGCTCAGTTAGTCACTAATGCAGTCAGCATGTCTGTGCTGCATGCTTGGACATCTGGTGGCAGCTGCTGTGTGCAGGTTTCCTGTCCCTCCCATCTCCAACAACGATGTAGTAACTAGCCGGGTATAGTGGTGTGAAAGTTGTGAATGGGGACTGGTACTGTCATTTCCTGACTGTGCTCTACTGGGAGCCATGTGGGTCAGCCAGGGACTGAGTGCTTTAAGACCGTGCTAGGAACCAGAAAGCTGGTGTGACCACATGGTCTGCCACAGGAGAAACCTTGCTGCAAAGAGTTTCTTATGGCCTACTTGAGCGATTCTGGCTGTTAAGATTTTTGCCTGTGTTGGGTTAGTGAGTTGTTTAGGGATCTGGGGCAAACCAGTAAAACAGGCTGATGAATCCACGCAGTAGGTGCCAGTCTGGGTTGCTGCCTTTTTCAGAAGTAAACAACTAGGAGCCATTGTTCGTCTTCCTAACTCTCTGCAGGACACAGGCTATAAATTACATCTAGGAACAAAAGGTTGATGGGAGTAGAACCGGGTGCCCAACTTCCCAAGGGAGTGCTTTGCCCTCCAGCCAAAAGAGTAGCTTTTCTGGCTTAAACCAGCACAGGCTCTTCTTACGCCTTCCCATCAGCACTCAGAACCCAAGAAATGTGTGCACTACAGGATTTGCTACACTGAAGCATTTACAACTCTTTCCATTACAAAACCTGGTTTCAGGGTTGATCATGGAAATTAAATCTGGTCTGAAATGCAGGAAACAAGGTTGCAGTCTAGGGACACAGGAGGAAATCTTATTAAAAATACCATATCTTATTGAGATTACAGTTAAATGGGTATAAAATCGTCCCTCCTCCCCCAAAACTGACTTAAAGCCAGTCTCACAGACCAGCTGTAGTCTATGCAGAATGTACACTGCCATGACCAGAATTACCTAATGAGATTTGTGCTTTTTATATTCACCAAGACTATGTTCTTCAACTCCCCATAACAAGCTTGAAATTTCTACCAAAATATGTTCAGAAAAGGATTTTTTTTAACTAAAAAAAAGTCTTTCTGCTGATAATAGAAAAAAAAAAGTTTCAAATTAGGAGCCTCCTTTTTTGAAGTTTCTGTTTTTTACAATAGAAATGCCAGCTATTTTGACAGAAACAAAATTCCATTCTTCCCCCCTTTCAATTGTTCCCATTTGATTGTGAAACAGATCTCCACTGGTGTCATTTTTTTCATCGTAAGTTCAGGTACATTCACTTTCTCGTCTGTCCACATAATAAAATCCAAATAAATATAGATTATAGGGAGAGGCTGCCCCACTGAATTCAGTGGAATTTTGGCCCTTGACTTCAGCTAGGCCAGAATTTCATCCTCTATGGGGATTCCTGCAAAAACATCTTTTTATATCGCTGTATGCCATGCGTGTTCCTTTTCTAGGGCTCCAACACATGTACTCCCTAACAGGATTTTTATCAAAATTAATTGGTGCTGGCTACAGTTCACATATGTGATAAAATCACAAATGGCTTATTTTGGTGTTTCTGTACTATATTGCACCATCATAGATTCAGTATCCGCTGTGTCCATGGCTTCACAGAAAAACACTTTTTTAAATGCTGGGGTTTTATCCTCTTTAGTTGTATTGTTTCATTCTCTTGAAAACTTAACTCATTTGGTACCATTTATTATTTTACAAATTTTTAGTGCCAGTAATTTAAGTGCTTGTTGCCAAGGAGTAAGCAAATTCCAAAAGCTCAAACATTTAACTATGTGATTTGTGTTGTTAAAAATAATGTCATGGGAACTAATCCACAATGGGAATAAACTGATAGGCTCAATTTAAAGTGATGCTCTGCTGCATTTCCTGAGCTGAAGATTTGCTTTAGGATTTTTCTGTTCCTATATACTAAGATTATCCCAAGCTAAAGGAAAAGTTATGTATTTCTCACAAAGAAACCCCCAAAACCAAAAAAACTTTTCCCAGAGCTGTACATCTCCTTTGACTAAATTTTCTGGGTAGCATCAGGCCCTGCACCCAGGCTAAATTTGAACTGCTGTCTACCTCAGGCCAATATATTTTAGGGGAGAAATTCCATGTTTGGGTGGGAAAGAAGGAAATATTTTTGTGTCAGCTTTATTATTTATTTGTTAATGGCAGCTCTTTGAAGTGCTCAGTGCATTGGAATGCAAGTGTGTGTCCTATGCTGGCGTGTAAGCAGGCAGACGGCATGTGCAATGGACAAACTTACATGTTATATACATACAGTTCATTAATTATTTCTGTGGTTTATCACATGAAATGACGTACTGTGATGAATTATTTTTCCTGTATACATCTGTCTTTTCATTTTGCATTAGGTATTAGCACATCCATGCACCTGGTCTAAACATGCCTAATCTTAGCCCAATTTTATAGGGCAACAAGCAAGAGAGAGGCTTTCCAAAGTGGAATAGCACCCACCCCTGCCAAACACATGCAGAAGTACTAAGAAGTCTAAGATGCACATCAAATAATATTTAGTATTGAGAAAACAACCTGTTCATAATCTGATGTCAGAAGGGCTAGAATTAGAAACTTCAGACCATGAAGAGACTACGAATTTCCATTCCTGGTAAAATAAGACTTCTGCCTCTGTACCACTTGCCCACATCCCTGAAATGGACATTATTCTCCATTTACCTGCGCCAAAGAAAACTTATTTTCATTTTTTCATTCCATGTAATTGTGAATACAGGACATCAACAGAGAGGTATTTTATGTTCATCAAGAAAATAAGACTCAAAGATACCTAATTTTTAATTAAATATTCCATTCTTTTGTTTCATACATGTAGGATGAATTTTAAAAGTCATTTAGCAATTGAAGAAAAAGATACGCTTAGTAAACTTACAACATGTGTTAACTGTGCACTAGTGTTTTAAATCTCACTAAACTTCATTCATATATTTCGATGCCAAAATATCTATAGCTATAAACATACAGGAATTCACAGAACTATGTCTTTTCCACGACTATAAACAGTAAGGTGTATAGGAGATTGTTTTTTCCTTGCTTTTAAAGCCATTTGTTTCAAAAGAAAAAGTAGCGTATTCACTCAATAAAACGTTTTCTCTGTAAATTCAAAGTTGCTAGCTTCTTAATAAAAAGATCCCCTGTGTTTTAAAGAAAGATTTTCACTTTAACCTTATCCCATCAGATATTCTAGACCTGTAGGAAAAGCCTGTTGGAACCTGTTGCTAAAATTTGGCTGATTGAGGAAAGGATAGCCAGCCATCTCTAAGTCAAAAGTCAAAGAAAAGGCAAAGTCCTGAAAACCTCTTTGTGTAACGTTCTTGTGCCTGTGGCTGGAAAGACCTGTCTGTATTTTTCCATTGTTTGTGTTAACAGAGATTAAAAATTAATGAGAAAATTCATTAAAAAGTGGGAGGATCGACAAAATGGTAATCTCATATAGAACTATTCATTTCAAATTTGCCAAGTGAAACTGAAATCAGGATGTTACTGGCTGTCAGTCATTGCCATATGTTGGTTGTTAAAGGTGGGATGTACTGGCTTTGGTGATCCCTGACCAACCCCTCATTCCACTGCACACAAACCACTGTTGCAATTCTGCAGCTCTGAAGAGAGGCTGGTGTATGGAGACACCACAAGAAATTGCTACGGCACACTAGAGACATGCCTTTCACTTATCTACAGAAGCTTTGAGGTTTTCACCAGGGATTTCATGTGGCATGTAGAGTCACACAAAACCCCACACTGCAATGAACATATGTACCTCAGGAACTGAGACCTTGTCTGAATGTCAAAGACTGTCATACGTTCTCATCCTGTTTCTCTGCTTTGCGAGTTTGAAATAGGAGGAATAATTCCTTCCGTACCTCATACCATCAATACAATAAAATATCAACCTTAGTCCTCAGTATCACTGCTGGCACTGGCATTAGTTACCACTTTTGTTGGAGCAGCCTATGCAGAGAAGCCAAAGGTCAAATGAGCTGTGGGAGACTGAACCACCTCGACTTACCTTCTGCATGAGGTTATCCTCCAGGGACAAATAGAAACATTTTAGAAAGGTTCATTGCAGAGCAGGCATTTTGCTTGCTCTAAATTGAACTGCAAAAAGAGAAAACGGTGAGATGGGACAAAATAAGCAAAATATTTTGGGAAAACATCCAGGCAGTTGTAGATGCTTTGCTGGGGTTCAGAAACTCTAGTGCTTTATGTTCACCTGGTTTGCAATAATGAGGAGATTTTAAAATGCAGGAGGGGAAGCTTATAACAAACAGTGCCTTTCTGAGCTAACTCACAAGAGATTACACAAATTTTCCTGCAAGCGCAATAAGTATAACTTTAGACTGTACTTGTGTAAGAAGAGGAGGTTTAGTGCCTCTTTAAAACTCGAGTGTGGCTGCTTAGTCAGTACTAGCTCCCCTCCCACTCCCCTTCTTTCACTGCTGGGTAACTTTTGTTGCAATATGGGTGTGACTTTTGATGGAGCTCCCCCTCCCAGTTATGTCATTACTTCAGTTCCTTTGAATCAGAATAAAAAGTGCAGCAAAGTTCAGACTCATTGACTGCAGGCTTAACAACCGTCGGGGCTTTTCTTCTTTCTGCAGCTTGCAAGGATCTCTGTTTTTTGTAAAACAGTTCCGAGGAAACAATGGCCAACTTCTCCTTATGGGCAACTTTTGGATTATGTTTGCTGAAGCTTTGTCTAACAGAAACACGTAAGTTTTTAATGAATGAAAACACTACGGTTGCTAACAAGTTTATGCTTCAGACAGCAAGAGCTCTTCTGCTAGAGAGCTAACAGCTCTCGTGTCTATCTTTATATAAAGTTTTATTATTTCTAAGAGTTATCAAGAGATGCTTTAGAACTGTAACCTCAGCTGTGCTGGTCTGTACAATCACGGAAAGCTGTGTATTGCTTGTAAAGGGCAATTCCAGATCCATAAAAAGTGCATTGTAGGTCATTAAAGTTAAATTTAAACTAAGAACAGAAGTACATTAGGGAATATAGAATAGCTCTGGTAAAGCTCTGTTCAACAATGTGACTGCTGTTACGTACTTAGTTTGCTCTCCCAGCTCCGTTTCAGACAGTAGAGAAAAGAGGGGTGATTGGGGGGTGGAGATGGAGCTCCCCCAGCATACAACAACTGCATTCTTGAGTTTACCTGGGCTGAACTAACAGCTAATTCATACTGCATTTGGACACAGCCTTGCTAAACAGAAGCAAAACTGCAGTGATCTGTGACTGAGATTTGGAGAGCTTTTATGCCAAGCATGCTTGTTTCTGACTTCCTAAGGTTTCTTTGGGGTTGACAGATGAGATTTTGGAACAAAGGGGGTTAGAAGTGACCACAAAATTCAGTTGTTTATCAATTAACTTTCTGTAGTTTGGTTATCTGCTTCAAATATTTGTATTTTTAAATGAAATGTTAATACAGAGGAAAAAAATGTAAATTTTATGTCCAAAATGGCAAAATGCTTTTGAAATGTCTCATGATGCAGGCTCAACCATGTTTGACGGAAATGTCCATGCTTTTAACAGACTCTCACTGTGACAGCAACTGCCTCGAGGCATTTTGTGGTTAGGGATAACAATTATGCTTCTACATTATTTTTCTACTCATCAGTTCCAGGAGTCTAACAATATACATTTTTCATGGCCATTGTCACCCAAGGGCTGTGTGTGTATATAATAATTATATATCTCATTTGTTTGAGCAGCAGTGGATACTTCTGTAATGGTTGCAGTGCTGCTGGGCTGTGAATGGGTGTGTCAGAGTGAACAGTTCCCAGGGCATCTGTGATAGCTGAAGAACCCTCATTGCTTTTCTTTCTAAAATTGTCTGTCTGTTGTACCAAAATGCTCTTGCTAAAATCAGGTATATGGATAAAGCCCTTAGAGAAAGGGCAGGAGTACTGTAGGCAAATAAAGTATGTCTGAGATGTGTTTAAAACCTTGACTTGGTCCAAGTCTGCATGCTGTATAAGTATTATAATTATTTGGTTACCGCCTGCTCAACTGATTTCTCGTTTTATGAGCTGCCAGGAGTGTCCTAAAGAAGCAGGGTCTGCACTGACTCTGCATGGGAGTAATGCATTTTTACAGTGAGACATAGCAGAAAACCCCATCACCTAGTCTTCAGCGTACTTACAAAAAGTATGTCAAACTTCACATATGCCCCACAGGGAAGTTTCTTTAATGGCTTAGCAAGGTATTAGACTATAGCTACAATATATTTTAGCTGCTATGCAGTACATTCCAGCATGACTTTGTAGTCAGTAATGACTTCAAAACAGCAGTTGATGGTGGTTTTATTTTCCTTTTTAAACCAGTGATTTTGCTGCGTATCATAGAGTAGTGGCCATTGCTGTTAGGAAACACCTTGCTTGAGGACAAAATTCAGATCTGCTCTTGAATTGGAATTTTGATTCTTTTAGTACAGAATTTGGCAAAATTAGAAAGGACCTGGGATTACTGTTAACATGATTACTAAAGGAAAGATGAGATATAGAGAGAAGCTGAAAAATTTATTCATCCTGAGTTCTGTGCTGTTGTGACCATACTGTCACTGACATGTGAGCGAGGTGTACTCATGGTATTGATGTGACTTTTGCTGTCTAAGGAGTCTGAATCCAGAAGGATATAGAAGCTGACATCTTGGTTAATGATGATTCTGGGGGAGATTTTCCCCTGTGAGCATTATATACTTGTAAAAATATTTCTTTCAAAGTTTTCCTTGATTAACACAAAGCAAATCCTAGAATTTTGACCCCCAAACTGGAAGAAGCTGGAATAGAAGTAGTAGTAAAGATGAAATGAAAAGAGGGAGAATGAGTCCACCAGTGGGAGGGAGGAGCTTAGCTATTAGCACTAGAGGGGTTGCCAGAGCCTCAGTACGAGGTAAGGCTCTGAGACAGGGCTACTATAGCTATCAAGTCAGTCACAAAGGAAGGGACCTGCCTGCCTCTTAGCTTATATATCCATAATGTAAATTTGTAAATAAAGCAGTTTGAAGAAGCTCTTTGTGCTAGTTTATTTTCACTTAGTCCTTACAGTGTGTATCTTCACTATTTTCCCAAAACTGCAAAGTAACTAGACTTTATTAAAGTTCACTTGAACTTCCATTATTGTTTAATGGATAGGTTATATACCTGCCATTGAAATACTCTCAAACACAGAGCCAACAAACCATGGCAGAGGATTGTCATGCAGTCTTTGGAGAAATGTTTGTTGATTCTTTAGTTACTGGTGTTCACCACAATGCAGAACCATTACCTTGAAAACAGGAAGTCAGAGAAAGGCTTAATGAGGAAAGATAGCATCAAACGATTGAGGAAGAACTTTTTAAACTAAATGCTTTTAAAACCACTGGTAGCTCTAGCCAAGGTTAAATGAAATGTTCCCCCATACCTGGTGTGTCTTTCTTTCCAGAACAGTTTCCATTACTTTTATAGGCCAGGACTTGAAGACAGTATTAATATTGCAGTTATTCATATAGCACCTAAACATGCATGAGATTCTACTGTAGCAAGAATGTGCCAGCAGGATGAGATGTCCAGAGATGCTGATAGACAGGTATAAACAGCAGAGAGAATCATGAGCTCGCTGCTAAAATACTTGTAGAAAAGATGGGTTCTCAAGAATTTCATGAAGGGGTAAAAAAAATGCTTTCATTGAAGGACAACTGCCAGTTCAAATGAAAGAACTTATGGAAGAGAGCACGAAAATATAGTGAGGAAAAATGTTGATCTCAAAGGGATGTTTGGTTGTATGGCAAGGAGCATGGTGGATTGCAGGAAGGAACTAAAATTAGTTATATAGACAGCATGAAGTCTCGAAGAATTTAAGCTAGAGAAGAAATGTGAAGTGTATCCAAGCAAGAACATAGTGTAAACCTCTGCAGACATCTCCATTAATTTGGATAGCAACTGTCAGGAACAGGGGAAAATAAGTGAGGAATAAAAAAAGATAGCAGCAGCAATCAAGTTAATATATAATAGGAGTGAAGCCTATAGATATGTGAAAAGTTAGAAAAAGTAAAAACTGCATTGCTGACATGGTGGAGGAAAAAGCTCTGGTGAGCTCTGTGGGATATGGGTTAATTAAAAAGCAAAGGGCAAACAATGCAAGATGGCAATGTTCTTGCCAGAGAATAGATGGTATTTAGAGGGAGTGGCTAGACAGCAGCAGTAATTAGGTTTGAAAATAGGTTGCTAAGAGACATTGTTTTTAAGGACAGATTAGATAAGGACAGACTAGATAAACACCTTGAAAGTGTTTATTTATTGTTTATTACCAGTTTGGGTATTGGTGATTGTGCTATTGGGTAAGAAGAGGGAGTAGAAGACCTCTGGTAACTCTATTTCTTCTTTGATAAAAGGATAATTTTAGTTCTGAATGTAGTTGACTGGTAGTGGAATACATTATAGAGAAGCAGGGAAAAATTATGTAGGGCTTCTTGTATAAGGAGGGAATAAGTCAGCCCAAGAACTTAAGAGTTTTTCAGAATTCCAGAGGTGCTGTAAGAAGGCTTCTCCATTTGCTTTCTGGTTTTCTTGCCTCACGTTTCTGTTCCTGCATTAATGGATAAGTGTTTGAAAATACACTCAAGATAGAAGATGATAATTCTCAACCTCATATGACATGTATTCTGTTATTTACAAAACATTGATTATTTTTTTAAAAAAGAGAACCCTATGTGAGAGAGCGAGGGAAGGTGTTCTGCCAAACTCTCCTCTAAAATTGCTTTTTCCAGGACCAAGGCTAAATGTACGTAGTTACCTGTGAACTGTAACTTCACAGAGAGGATAATCATGAAACAAACATGACCCACCACAGTAATCTTCCCTACTTCGAAAACTACAACATTGTACTGGAACAATTCACAGTGTTCAAAACGCATGTTATTTTTGCATCAGCTGGTAACTGAGAGCATGCTTTATCAAATTTCATTTTTCAGCACTAAATTGAATTCTTAGACTAGAGAAATTCAAACTTCCAATTGAAGTCCATCAAAGCGAGAGGAGCACGACAGAGGTTGGGTTTGTCACAACACATCTCTGAGACATAGATCATGGTTGCTACCAAGTAAAACCCACATCCACAGTCTATTTTGTTCTTTGCCTTTACCCGTAAGGGTTTCTTTGTGGTATATCTGGTGGTTTGGACTGTTCTCCATGGGTGATCAACAGCTATAGGCGTGAAGCCAGTTTGGTGTAGCTGCTAGTCATTTTCCAGACTAGACCAGAGGTTGATCAGCTGTTAACACGCAGCTGTCTCTCACTCCCAGGGAGGTAGTAATAATTTCAAAGCCATCAGACACTGTAATTATCAGTGACCATTATGGCTGCTGCTAATACTGGTGGCAGAGAGGATTGTGTCAGTCCTGAATATTTATCAGTTTCCTCCCCGCCAAATCACAGGCCTCCCTACAGTGGCATCGGCAGTAATATCAGTAGCAGCTGGCTGTGATTTTCCTCCCTTGCTGCGGCTGCCGGAGCTGACCCTACCCAGCGGACAACAGAGCAGCTCGTCATATGAATTAGTTTGCAGGCAGTAATGTGAAATGGCAGCTGAGAGAAAGAGGGGTTTTCCATGGAGAATCTTTTCAGTCAGACTGAAAGTTCAGCTAATGGCGATTTAAAGTTCAAACCTCAGTGACTGTTTCCTGCCTAACGAAACCTGCAGTCATTTTTGGAGTCTGTGCCTACAGTTAAG